CCACGGCTCCAGAGCTTACGACAACGACAACAGGTACCGCGGTGCCTCCTTTCCGACCAACATCCACCGACTCGGACGAGCCGCCAGTCACATCCGCGTACTGCCCGACTGGATTCTACGCCTGTCTCGCTCGCGCCGGTGGAGGCTGTTGCCAGACTGGCCGCGACTGTGCCACTACTTCGTGTCCGCCAACAGAATCGACTACCATCATCAGCAACGGCGTCACCGTCGTCGTTCCCCTCACCGAAGTGCCGGAGCCCCAGGCGACGGAGACCTGCGCGAGCGGCTGGTTCTTATGCGGCTCCGAGGGCGGTCCTGTTCCTGGCTGCTGCCCGAGCGGGTATGAGTGTGGCACCGCGAGCTGCTCGAGTATCTCGCCGACACGCACTGGCGAGATCCAGAAGCATTTCCCCAACTCGGGGGGTGCAAAAGCTGGGGTGTCGTTGGCTGCCATGGCCATCTCTCTTATGGTTGCGTTACTTTGAATTCACAGCATCATTGCATTGGGCGGCGTTTATAGACGGGAATTTTCAGAGGCACTGAATATGGATTCCATTTGAAATTCGGGAGAAGCGAGGAAATGAGAACAAGATGGCTAGGGGAACGTATACGAGAGACGTTTAATGGCATTGGTCACAATGAATATGAGAGGATTCCTCGAGGTTTGAGCCTAGGGAACATATTCCAGCACACACACTCAAGAGAGCACCTAGTGAAGAACGTGATCCCGTTGTAACTTGTTCAACAGACTTCTGAATTTGCAACACAATCTTGACCTTGGCGTGTGATCTCCATGTTGCACAAATCAACGAGTAATGTTGCTGATCAGCTACTTCCGCTAAACATTACTCCCAAGGTTCAAGATGAAAGATATAGATGACAGGGAACCTTGGTAGGAAAGGGAAAAAAAGGAGCTTCCCTGTCGTCCGAGACAAGGACATGCAGTGAGCGACGAGACAATATATGAAATTGGGATGTCAATGATTGGATCTATCTGTACCTCCAGGGCCTCCAGACTAGCTACTGTATGTTACTCGCTTTTCTTCTCAGAAAAATCCGAAAAGAGAAATTTCCAAATCCAAATGATGTCCCCATGCGGTACTCATAAGAGTGACGGAGGACTCAAACTCAAACTCCATTGCGCCGTGTAAAAGTGTGTTCCGCCCCAAGACGAGGCTCTATAGAGACTGTTCCCCGCCCATGATGATGCGATTGGTGACCGACTTGGTATTAAAGTAAAATGTATGATGCAGAGACTCGGGCCTATCTTTCTTTCACGGGCCTAGTGATGTGTGGGGGGGTATGTATGAATTTGCCAAGGAATGATCGTGTTGTTGGACACCTTCGGTACCTCTCGCCTGGAGAGGGGGGGTGGTGTAGGTAGACCGCGTCGAGCAAGGGGCAAAAACCAAAACATTGTCTAGATGAAGTAGGCAGCGACGATGCCTGCAACGACGAGAGAGCCGACAGAGTTATGGACTGCCGCGGCGGTGGGAACGGAGGTCGGGTTGGTGATTGTACCCGATGGCGGGATCGGGGTCCGCGTGCCTGACGGGCTGCTGCCGGACGTGGCGGTAGTAGGACGACCGGAGCTACCGCCACCACCGTTGCCGCCGCCGCCGCCACCACCACCACCGCGGCTCGTCGGAGCAGTGCCGTTGCCAGAAGGAGCAGGTCCACCGCCAGTACCGCCGCCGCCTCCGGTCCCAGTAGGTCTAGACGGGCCAGCAGTACTCGTCATCGTACCGTTACCAGACGACCGAGGCGGCGGGCCGATTGGGTACGTGGGTCTCGGGACATATCCCGTTCCGGTCCCCGTGCCGGAGGCGTATGGGGTGCAGACGCTGGGCGGGAGCTGAAAGGGGCTGGGGGAGGCGTAGACGACGCAGTTCTTCTCGCAGGCGGCGTCGCCCGAGTAGGGCTGGGACATCCAGCACAGGGAAGGGTTGACGCCCAAGGGAAACTGGCCGGCGAGGTTGTTCGTGCAGCGGCCCGGTTGTCCGCGGCCGTTTGCGTCGCAGCGGATGATGATGTCTGTGGCGAAGGAGTCGCCCGCGCAGAAGGCGGAGTTTGGGCGGGAGCAGATGTATTGGCCTGTTGTTGCATTGCTGTGGCGGTGGTGTTAGTGAGAGGGAGGGCAAGGGAGAGGGAGGGGGTTTGGCTTACTATGTGACTTGGGCTGAGGCCAGCGCCGAAGCGGCGAGGACGAGGGTAGCTGATGTCTTCATGTTGATGCGCTTCTAGCTGAATCTTATCATAGACGTGAAGATGGCCGAGGTGTGAAGGATGGAGGCGACGGAGGATAGACGAAGCCTCTGTGTACGTGCAGGTTCGAAGCTCACGCAAAACGAGGGGATGTGATTTCTTTATGCTGAGGTGTGTGAGATATGAGATGCTGATAATGAGAGAAACGGAAGGGATGAGAGGTGGAATTATCCGCGATCCATATATAGATGGGCTACGTGGAAGCAACGCTACTAAGTGAAGGGGGGGAAAAATATGTGAGAAGCCATCTTCAGGCACGGAAAAGGAAGAGAGTCAAGATGGCTGGGATCGGCTTCCGGAGCCTAAAAAGTTAGCGCATGCGAAAAGCCAAGTAACGTCAAGCTATCTCTCCATTGTAGAAAACGACGGCGGCGGATCCGCTGGGTTCGAAAGAGAAAAGCGAAGACGAGAGAAAAGCCGGCGGCGGCGCTGAGACAAACGTCAACTGAGGTGTGTGTGTGTGTGTGTGATGGCGAAGCTGAGCTGGGGGGCTGGCTGGCTGACTGACTGACTGACTGGTAGCGGCGCGTTGGTGGTGCGTTTCTGGCGGGTCTGCCGATTGGCGAATCGGGTTGCCGTCGGCGTCTTTTCTTGGAAGGTTAAGTTCTTTCTAGTTCGTCTCCAAAAGGCAATGAGACTTGGTTGCCTCTGAATCCGAATCTGAATCTGCCCTCGCAGTCTGGGCGGTTTCCCGCGATACTGCGTCTACCTCTGCAACCAGAATCCCGGAACGACCGGGGTGAGTAAGTTTCTTGCAGCATGCAGAGAGGGAGCAAATAGAGAGGAATGGGATAGGCATGGGATGGCAGGTCAAAGGGAACTAACCCCCTCGTGCCAGCTCCCTGGAGTCCCTACTATCGGCCGCGTGTTGCTTGTAGAAGGAAGCAGAGGCATTTTCGATAGAGCAGAGTTGCATCACTGACATCACGAGCGAAGCTTCCAACCCCTCCCTGCAGCATATTCCTTCATGGGATGAACCTGCGATCTGCATCTTGCTCACCGTACTTCCCATCTTGGATATGATACAGATTTTAACAGATTTTAGATCAACAAGACCTGGGATTTGGTTCTGCCTCAAGGTGAGATTTGAACGTCAAACAATGACCGTATTTTCTTCTCGCGAAGCTGACCATATGGACACAGCTCATATCAAGCCACCGGCAATCGCGTGCAGAGGTGCAAGCTTGACACGAGATTCTTCCAAAGTATGACCACTTCTTCAACGAAGACTGAGACAACTGATACGAATGCAAACCTGAAAGTGGCCGGGGAGGGAGGGGGTGCCGCTCGCGCACATTCCAACACCCGAGAACGGTTGCGAAGGGGGGTGTTGGTGGATCGAAAGACATACACGTGCAACCGTCAAGCCCACGCCATTATCGCCGCCAGCTCTTCTTCGTACTCTGATCGCGCGGAAAGGCCAAAAAAGAAAAAAGAAAAAGAAAAAGGGGGGACAGGAGATTGTGTGCATGAGCGATTCTCACCTGTCGTTCAGGTTGAACCTTTTGCGGACGAACGGCCGCTTGCCCAGCCATAGTTTGCTTCGTGCTACACTCGCTCAGTGCGCCGAAATCCATTTCCGATCTGAACCATCTGAGCAACCTGATTCGATAAAGCTGAGAGCTTCTTCGTACGACAATCCAACCAAGGCCCAACCAATCTAGCAAGAAAAAGAAGGAGAGAACACCGCCCCGTGGCTTCAGCTCAAGGAAATCCGACTCCGTGGCGGCCGTATCCGGAAGAGCTGACGGGCGGGATGGCTTATACGCGCCCAGAATATCGAGAATAGCCAGCGCTCGTCCATGACAAAACCTCGTCATCGATTCTTTCCAAACTCGTTTCGCAAGAACGGGAAACCTGATTAACAAAGTGCCCATTAGGAAATGCATCCTCTACCCGTGGAATTATTGGTTGCGCAACCTTCAAAGTATCCGTGAAGCAACGCAGTCTAGCAGCAGTTGGCGTACCAGCCCACTGGAATGCGCCCCCCGGCCATCTTCATCGCTAGCAGCTCGCGCGTGCCGCCCTACGCACTATCCGTACAGCCCAGGTTAGCCCTACGACGAAAATAGAAACACTTAAAGTCCCTGTCGCGATTATGGAGGCCGCCCCGCTGCTCCCGAAAGGTGCGGGTCTGTGCTTCTTCTCCCAAGTCTTTACGCAGTAAACTTGTGCGGAAGCTCTGCATAAGGCAGACTGTGAACATTCCAGTACAGCAGCACGACGCGTCGCGTTCGGAACGCGGTGGCCTGGAATTCCAGCTGCGGGCTTGCTGTCGAGGCGAGGGGTAAAGTAAGGACCGTGGAAATATTGGGTTCCATCAGCTGATGCGGCAAAGCTGTGTCAATCGATGAAAGCATGTGCCGTTTCTGCCGTTGAGAGTTAGGTAGGCCAAGTTCACTTGGATGCTCGTGACTCTTTCTTGAGCACGTATTGCTGCAATTTACTATCTATACCTTCGATGTGGACTTGGCTGTCTATTAGGATGGTCTGGAGCCATGCAGATGGGTTCAGATACTCTTCAGATTGAGAAATCATTCATTCATTGACTACATCCAACGCACACCTATGAACCGCAACATCCACCAACTTTTGCAGTCATAACTCCAACCTCCGACGACGCCTGTACCTTCCAGAGGACCACATCCCACCATGATTTTTCCTCAATCCCCGCCTTTCCTTTGGGAGAGAGCTGTCCTTTTTCTTCCTCGTCATCATGCTGCAATGCTTCTCCCTCAAAGCTCCTCGTAGACCTCGGTCTGGTTAACCATGGCGCTGAGGGGGCCGCGCTTGACCATAATACTCATGATCTCATAGAGCGCATCAGCAGCGGCCATGGTAGTATGCTCGGCGTTCGTATCGTAAGCAGGCTATTGCCCATGAATTAGTCTTCTGTTAAATTGTCCCCAGTAGCAATAGCATTCACGAAGGAAACTTACAGCAACCTCCACGATATCAGCAGCAATCAGGTTGAGGTCCTCCAATCCACGAAGGATGGTGCGAAGCTCGCGAGTGGACCAGCCACCCGTCTCAGGGGTGCCGGTAGCGGGAGCGACTACGCGCCACGGTTAGCTAATGTTCTTTAAACGTTTCACACATTTGATCACTTACAGGCAGGGTCAAGAGTGTCGATATCCAGAGAAAGGTAGACGGGGTTCTTTGTGCCGACGCGGTCAATAATCTTCTTAATGATGCCATCCGTGCCGATCTTGTCAATTTCGCGAGCCTCCACGATCTCGAAGCCGCAGTATCCATCGTTCTCGTAGTCACTAGGGCCGCTGAGCGTCGTGCGGATACCAGCGTGGATGTTGGAGTCGTTGCGCAGCAGACCTTCCTGAGCGGCATGGTAGAAATAGGTACCGTGGTTGATGCTGGCAACTTCTGAAGGAGAACCGCCAAAGACCTTGGGGCGCCCTGCAAGATGTAAGTCTCCCTACTTGCGCCTTTGGGGATCAGTTGACTTACAGGTATCAAGATGACTATCAAAGTGAATGACAGACACGGGACCGTAGGCACGGTTGATAGAGCGCAGCAGGGGTAGGGTGATGGTGTGGTCACCACCCAGGGTGATGACACGAGGCAGGGTGCGCTCGTTCTTCGCAGGTCCCTTCTTCGCCGCATCTGTGGCAGGCTGGCGCGAGAGGATTTCAAAGTGCCCCTCTTCGATCTGGTGCAGAGCCCACGTATTGTCGTATCTTGCCTTGAGTTAGCAAGCGGATGAGCAAGGTACGTGGTGGCTTCTCACGATGTGACGGGAATGTCTCCGCAGTCCAGGACAGTAGCCCAACTGCTGAACGGGTTTGTGGCCAATGGCACATTGTACCCTCCGCTGTCCGGTGTAAGTATTCTTTCTCGCGCGGAACCAGCATCCCGGAGTAGACATAGACTTACTAGAGGTTCAGACGGCGCGAGCCCTGACGAATTCCTGACGGGCCAAAACGGGCACCGGGGCGGTATGAAGTACCAGTGTCAAAGGGGGCTCCTGCGTGGTGTAAGTGCCATTCACAGTCGACTGCTCTCCGCCCTCACTCACCGATGAATGCAATGTCATACTTGACGTTCTTTGCGCCGAGGCATGGCTGGTACGGCAGGCGACCAAACGTGGAAATGCCCGAGAATACAGAGTCGGCCTATAACGTGTAAGACAACGCTCGAGGGCCGGGTCAATGGCGTTTCTAAATACCTGAGTACCGCCGTCACCTGGGATCGTGTTGTACCAAAGGGACTGATGAGGCCCGGACATGGACTTTTGGTGGTCATCGTGGTCTCCGTGACCATAAACGGCCGCCACAAGGCAGAGTGCGAGGATGCTTCGAGAGACCATGGTGCTGACAGTTGACGGTATGGTGATTTCAAGTTGCAGCTATTGCTCGGGACAGATTTAAAAGGTCATGAAGGGGAATGGCCTTGACTTTATGAATCTCGGCGAGCTGCAAGGTCCCGTTCTATGTCAGAAGCAGATTGGCCAAAGTTCGACAGCTCTTCTCCACGCATGAGGTTTTATGGTGGGCATCACGTATGGCCCCAGGACCGGCTCGCAAGCTTATCGTCGACGTATTAGCCACACCACAGGAGCTCCCTGAGACGCTTACTGGTCAATGGATAACCATCAGACGCAGTGTCGGTCAAAACGATTAACGTGTTGGCGTTAGGTAAAGACCAGGGCCGCGGCAGACCGTTGCTGGCAGTGCGGGGCAAGAGATAAAGCTCCCTCCGTCCTTCTCCAATGTCATGATGCTTGCAAGATCAGCGAAGATGCTTGGTTCGAGCTTCGATTGGCTTCGAGTTTTGGAGTACCCGGCCTCCGCACTCCAGACGAAGAACCCTCAGATCAAGCGGTGCTGCATGTAGTGACAGGGTTCTGCCCCTTACCCATGAAACAAGACGCCGTCGGCGAAGCCATTGCCGTGGGGAGAACGGTCCAAGTGTCTGTTCCTAGGATGCTGGGTCCAAGGATGGACGGTCTGGATGCTGTGAGCAGGGCGGGGTCAAGTTGGAGTGTTGTCGGTATTATGATGCAAACTCTGAACGAGATAAGCCAGAATCGGTTCCCCAGATGCACCTTCTGCAGGGCCTTCGGCCAGGTCTTGAAGAACAAGTCTGTAGCGTCGATAGCACCAACCCGGTTCCGCGGGGAAGCGCCTGTTGAGCTGGAACGAGCAGAGTCACCTCAGCCAATGGGATGGCCCTGAACAACATTAGTTCATGAGTCGTTGGGAGCGAAGAAGACTTCTCCGATCTCCAAAAGAGTCCTGGTTCTTAAGAAATGCATTGGTGAAGAAGGTTCCTCCAGATGGGAGTCCTCGTCGATGACGTGGGGCAAAGCAGCAACTCCCACGCGGGGCTGATAAGATAAAGCTACGGCACGCTAACACATGCAACCTGTGCTAGGCGCTTACCCGAATAGGAAAACAAGCAGTAACGGCCACCTCGGTGCGCTTGCAACCCGTCATGCACACTCTCGCCTGGAGAGAAATCGACAACGGCGATGATTTGCGACATGTTGCAAGGCCGGGTCCGGAGAGCTGATAAGCAAGGTACGACACTTGCCCAGAAGTCGGCTTCACCGGCGGCCTGTCATGACTTCTTGAGATCGATAAGGACGATATGTTATTCCAAGCATGGGCATCGACCACCGCCCAGGATCTCAGCTGTAGGTACTTAAAACCTGAGGGTTTCTTCTCCAAGCTGCGGTGAGCTGCACAGCTTACCTGCTCAACCGTCAACGGAGGATAGTCCCTTGCTCCGGCTCATCAGCACGTGCTGAGGTGCCGGATCCGTCATGGCATCGCCGCTCATGGAACTTGGTGAGATTATCGACCCACACCGGGCCGACTCTCGCCTGACGAGGCCTGGCGTTCACGGCGGAGCCCGGGAGTGCTCCGCCCCGGCGCCATCCCGCGCCCGTTGAGCTTGCCCCGGCTGAAACAACCCGAATCCGGCACCTGTTCGACTGACAAAAATGCGCGGTACGGTCATATGTTTTACTGTTGCAGCGGAACATCGGCTGGACTCTGGAAACTTCAACCACGGAAGACGAAATACCCCGCGCGACAGCTTGTCAGAACAGCATTTGCCGGAGCCAGGATGATGACTGCGCAGTACCTACGGTACGGTCGCAATTTTCTTCTCTCTTTCTTTCTTCCTTCCTTTCTTTCTTCTCGCACCTCGGCGGGGCGAGCTGAACTATGGCTGCTGCTCTGTAATCATGGCAGCGCTGCCTATCGTATCTTTTTCTCCCAAGTCAATTTGCCGTCCCCGGCTCCCTGTGCATCCTTTGCAGTGGCTCTGTTTCCAAATCTGCACCTTGTCTCATGCAGCAAGCCGTGGCAGGTCGCTGATTCGCCTCGGGGTTTGTTGGAGGTCATGCAGGTCTGAGAGAAGGACGCCAAGTTGCACAGTTCTGATTCGTCTGGGGCAAGCACTGGGAAAAGTGGTTACGACTTCTTTGTTGCTGCATCTGCGTTGTTTTTGATTCATACGGGAGCCCAGATGGCGTCGTTCAACCGGGCACGGAAATAGCTTACCGCAAGATATGCAGCCTAAGAGATACGTGGGATGCCACGCCGGCCTTCTCTCAGCCAACTAGGAAGGATGCCTCATCAAAAAGGTTTGACACGCACAAGCTCTCAGAATCCATACCTATGAGTTGGAAAGTGCGAGCGACTCCCTATTGGGCGATGTGGCTTGCAGAACATGTGGCCGAATCGGTCGGAATACCTACTTAGGGCATGTTGGAGTTGGTGAGTGGGAAGACTCAAGGCGAAGACAGACGCACACGCACAAGAATACCTTCCGCACATACAACTGAGTACCTAGGTACTGAGGAGAGAAGAGGGGGGGGGGGTGGTTACGTGGGAGACAGAGACAGAAACAGGTCGGCAAGGGGAGAAAAGCAGGCGAGTACACTTAGCTACCTACGCCAGAGAGGAAAAGTTGGCATGGCTTTGCAGAAGAAGGAAACCACGCGTGCAGCACGATGCAACCAATCGAGCAGGTTCTAACCTATGAACGGCCGTTGCGACCTTGGTGCAGGTTGACTTATTGGCGGGCGGACTGATCCGGCCCCGTTTTTCCCGGCCGACTTGAGCCCGCGTAGTGCGCTACGGAGACAGCTGGGAACTTGGGATGGTGGAAGAGTTCCTCATTCGGCCCCCCTGGCGGAGCTACTGCTGCTGGGCCACACGCGCCTTACCTCTTGGTATCCTGGCAGAATTGTGCATCACGAGACGAACTCGATGCGACTGGACGACAAAAGGGGGGAGGGGGACGACGATATCAGTAGTGCTCATACGGAGGAGAGAGTACACAGTAGAGAACTGCAAGTGCAAGTATCTTGGGCCATGGCTGGGGAGTGAAACAACTCTGTGCAAGAAGCTGTTTGCAATTTACTCGATACTTACCTTACCTTAACTTGAGGTCTCTTAGGTTTAGCTAGGAATACGTAAGTGCTGAGATAGGGCAGTTTGCCTGGCTGTTCGTTCCTTTCCCCGCCACCCGAATTTTCTCTCGCCAACTTTCTCTGCCTTCTTTTGGACTTCAGACTTGGAGCGCGACTGCTACCTGACAGGAGGAACCTACTAGGAATCTCCTTGACTCGGCAGGTTTGGAAAGGCCCCGAATCCACCGTCCACGCGGAACACGCACAGTTTGCGACGGGGCTGCCCAGTCTTTTTTCGCGCGCAGCCGTTAAGAAACGAACAGGTTGGACCCACGTACCATCGGACTGAGATGTGGCCCTGATGTACTTTTGCAAGCAGTTGTAGTAGAAACAGTACATTGACCTCACTTCACCTCGACCTCTCTTCCTTACCTTACCTCACCTTGGGTACCTAAATACATGCCTAAGGTAAGGTAGGTAAGGTACCTTACCTAGGTAGGGTTCCTAGCACCTCAATGATGTAAGTATCATGTACCCATTTACCGGCGCGCAACGCCCCGCCATTCTTCTTTCTCGCACCTATCGCCAGCTTTCCTCCTCGCCCGCCTCTGCAACCCTCGGCCACCACCAATCTTCTCACATCCGGATACTTGCCGCTCCATCTCTGCTCTGGTCTGCGCTGCTCTGGTCTGCCCTTGTCTCTCTTCTCCCACCCCAGAGGCCAGAGGGCGCATTCTCTTCATTTGCGTCAGACCCTTTCCCGCCCTGCCAATCATCCTTCCCGTCTGTCTTTTTCACAACCGTCGACTTGTCTCCGTCGTCTCAACCTCCTGAAGCCGTGTCCTGCACCAAAATAGCGCCAACGTCCGTCCGCAGGTTGCAGGAAGCCTTGGATCGTCCTCTTTTCCCTCCTTTTCACGCTTCCACCAAGCCCGGCTGAAGCGCTGCGTCAATCTCACATATCGTCCCGTCCTCTCTCAGTCTAGGCCCCCTACTCCTCTCCCTACGTCGGTCTGTGCGACTTGCACCCGATCGGACCGCATCCCACGCCCGAGTATTCGTCCTCGCCTTATCCCCCTCCTTCTGTTTCTCTTCACAGCACAAAACACGGGCCGTACATCGTGACCACTGCGACCACGTACTCTTTACCTCAACCAGAGAGATTCCGTCTCATATCGCTGGGTTGAACCAACTTGAGGATTGTGCTCCGTCTCATCGCTTCTGTTGTCTCTCTCTCAAGACTGCCATCGGTCACTGCACGCCACTGGACTCTGACGCGATTCACCAACCAAGTCTTTTCGATTCAATGTCTCACGCCTACCCTTAAGACCTTGACGTCTCAACCACCACCGGGTTTTCCATCTTCACCTTACTTCACTCGGCATTCCGAATTGTACAAAGTCGTACCGTCGGCCACTTGCTTCTTCATCTCAATCACGAACACGCCCATGAACTTCACTCTGCTCAGCATGCAAAGAACTCTGGCCCTCTCCCATCCTCGCTAACCTGCGAAGGGTCATCGTGTGTGCATTGGAAGCGCGTCGCATGCCTTTGGAACGCATTTCAACAACCGCCCTCTGAAATGGCTGCTGCTACGAGCCTCAACTCCACCGCCATGTCGGTTCGATCCAAGAAACAAGTATCGACCTTGCCTGCAGACGGCTTGCAGGCGCAAAGAATGTTCAAAAAGCACAAAGTACTGCCACACCCTAGGAGACATGCAAGCGACTCTGCGCATTCCTATGAAGTGCGGTCGACGCCTAGGAAATATGACCTCGACGTGGATGCCGTAGCATCGCAAATGCGAGGACCGCAACAGCAAAGCCCCCAGACGCTGAGACACCAACCTAAGCGGATAGGCAGTGGCCCGGATTTGCCTCCGACACCGCCTTCCCACTCGCGAACCTCATCGAGCACTCACTCGATCCAGCATCCAAGCCCAGCGCCCGCCGAACCTCATGCGCCGGGATCGCAGACACCAACAACTCCAGCGCGCGCCCCAGCCACTCCTCCGAACCAAAAAAGTCCACCAACGCCAGATGTGACGCCTCCTCAACCTGCTACTCGCCCCAAGGTTGTTCGACCGATACCTATCGACCGCACAGTATCGAAAGCTACTACCGTTGAATCGCGAACTGAGTCTTTCCGAACTGCCAGAGAAGAGCCTTTTTCCTCTGAAGAGGACTTGCAATCGACTGTGAGGCCAAACATCCTCTCAGCACGAACATCCCAGAACACGGTTCGTCGCGTTTCCGAGCCTCAGGTGAGGACGTCGCCTCCAGTTGGTTTAGGCCTGGGGCTGGAGTCACCTACTGAGGACCCTCCGACCCCCAAGGCTAAGGCAGACTTTGGTACCTTTGACGGAGAATGGGCCTCGAACAACGAAGTTGAACAAGAGTGGGACGATAACCTGGGCAGAAATGTCACGGTAAGAAAGAGGCGTACTAAGCCCGAAACCCCGCCGCGGACTGGAAGACGGAGGGTTGAAATCATCGAAGACCGCGTTGTCACACCGACAAACGCTGCCAAGGCGGTGCGCGCTATGTCCCAACGAGACAGGGCAGCCTTCTATGCACCTAGCGAAATCGCTTGGCCTAATACCTCAACCCCAGGGAAAACAGCTGACGCGGACTCTCGCAGGCTGTCGGGAATGTCTGCGAAATCTGCAAAATCAAATAAGTCGGTTGCGTCCACTATTGTTGAGGCAATCTTAGTCGAAGCTCCCTCAATCCCCCAAAGGAGGCAGACGCTCAGGCATGTCCGGAAGCAATTTGGATTAAGGGACTCAGGCTCTGATCTGTCTCCCCTCAGCTCTGCCGCGAACTCGGCTATTCAGTTGGAGGGAAGCCCGAGGCGACCTAGAGCGCTCACTCGTCCTAGCGAAAGCCGTCATGACAGCTATGCCTCGAACACCACCTTCAACTCGATTTCAAGTAGCAAAGCACGCAGAGAAGTCTGGAAGAGCGGTGGCATTCCAGTCATTGTTGTCCCCGATCGTCGATCATCCAGATCTAGTCGGGAGCCGTCTCTCAGATCAACCAGCAGTAGACGATCCAAAAGAAGTACCAGTGTCGGTTCAGCGACTCGCACAAATGGTCCGAAAAGTCACGACTTGCCTACACCAGTATTCGAACGTCCAGGGCGAAAATTGCGCTCAATGTCCGAGTCAGATGGATCCGACCAACGCACGATTGACTATCCGCCCATCATCCCGAAGCGTTCTTCTTCTTTATCCGCTCCGACCAGCCGTAATACTTCCCGCGCTGGCTCGCTCACCGCGGAAAGTTTGAAATCTCAGAACGCTTTGTTGAATCAACAGCCTGGACATGAAACGAGGATACCCGCCTTGACCCTCCAAAGAGCGACATCCTCTGAGACTGATAACGGCCACCATCACCGAGACCATAAACTCAATGTGGACCGTCACGGTGACCCCTTCTTTGGTAAACGACTATCCACGCAAAATACGCCTTTCTCAGCAGCTTCGGTGGAAACAAGCGGTACTGCGCCCGAAGTGTCTGAGGCCAAGGCTGTGAGCTTGTACCCTCATCAAAACTCATCTGTGCTTGTCGTCAACCATTCCAACAAGCCGTCGGAGGACTCTGAGGATTCGCAGACCGAAAGAGAGTTGCCGCAAACGCTCCAGGGGCCGACGATTATCACCACAGGTCCAGACGGCGAGTGCCCAATCACACCCTCGCAACCTCAGCATTCCATGGACGACGTAGATTCACCGCTTCGCAATCCTCGCGCGGCTCCCCCAGTCCCTCCGATTAATCCTCCTGCAATTCAGTTCATCCCCGCGACACCTTCGGGATTGACCCCCAATCATGAGAGACAACGCAACATGGGCAATTATTTCGAGGCGATGGAAGAGGAGCAACCTCAGCGGAGTAGATCTGCCATCAAAAGGGCATTAGTCCGACGACGCAACTCGGAGACGTACCCGCCCAAGAGTGGCAGACCTGGGCTCCTTACCAGAACCTTTTCTCTCACGAGAAGAGGATCAAGCTCTGGGGCTCGTGGTGACGACCACTCTGCTGTTGAAGAGCCATGCTCGTGCCCGGAATGCATGGCCCCGCCCCCTGAGGACGACCGATTGCATCCGCACTGGCGTCCTGCGTACTCGGATCAGGATGACGATGTGTGGGAGAGGGAGATGGAGGATGAGCCCATTAGCCAAGTCTATCGATACCCTCCCATTGACAATAGGCCAAGCCCGCGAAGACGTATTAGCGAGCGGGTGAAGAAGACGTTTGCAATCCTTCCTGCTCGCGGCGAGGATGACGTCTACTCTGGATCTCAAAACGAGCCTGACCGCCGAACCATTCGCCGGACAGACAGCGGGAATCTGCGGGTGATGAGACGCCGCGGCAGCCTCGACTCGCTCCGCGACCAATCCCCACCTACCTCGGGGCCTTCCACGAGGCAGAACGACGATCGCGACGCAGACGGGCCCCCGAAACGAAGACGTCGTTTTTCGATTTCGGGCACTTTGGAAGGGTTGCAAAACCTGCCGCGACAGCTGAATGAGCGTAAGCGAGAGAAGAGAACCCAGGAGTTGAGGCAGAAGATCAGCGGGCCGCGCGAAGTAAGAGACGGCATGGGTGACGTCCTTCGACGGAGCTCGTACCGTGGCCCCCCAAACGAACAAAACAGCTTACCGGTCGCGCATTTTTGATGCGACTGCAACGTACAAAATTTCCCGAGTACTTCAGATGATGATCCTGTCTGGAGCACTTTTTTCAACGCGTAATATATCTGGGTATGAAGCACAAATGGAGGGTGCTGGAGGAAATGAATTGGGATCATCACGACTGCTACGAACGAACGCTTTTTTTCTCCATTTTTACGACTACAGAAGCCTGTTAACGACACAAAGAATTGCTTTCTTCGCGGATTTCGGAGCTGATGACGGAGGGTTTGATGACAAGGTTTCCCCACTATTTGAGACTTTGACGACGATATTGATGACAATGATTTTGGGACGGGGAATCGGGGTTTTGATGAACGATTGAACGCGCGCGCTGCCTGCTACAGATAAAGAAGGACGTCTTATTATTGTATCATATAGAAAAAAAAACTGTACGTCAAGATACCATTTAACTCAGCGTTTCGGAACGAAACTTGCTTGACCGCGTTTCTCGGTTTTGCAGGATGAGCTTTTGCTTCCATGTGTTTGATTGAATGTGATATAACCATGCCCGTGTCATGAAAAACCTAAGTTTTGGATACACCCTTTTGCCCTGAATATGACGCCTAAACACCAATCCCACTTGTACCAAGAAGACACACGCCCAGATAATGCAGTTTGCCGTGGACGAAGACAGCCGCAAAGCATTCTACCGCCTGTCCTGACCTGGAGGTCCACCGCCGGGCGGAAAGGCACCAGGAGGTCCAGGTGGGAACGCGCCGCCGCCCGGCATACCGGGAAACTGGAAGTTGGGGGGCAGACCGCCCGGCGCGCCCGGGGGCGGGAAGGGGAGACCGGCTGGGAGACCGCCGGGCGGGGGGAACGGTAGGCCTCCTGGGGGCATTGGTGAGCCGTTGGGGCCCGGGGGGAAGGGGGGCATGGGCGGCATTCCGCGGCCTGCTTGTCCTGGGGCTATTGGATGTTTTGTTAGTTTGTGAGGGAGCTATCAAGAAGAGGTTCATGGTGGAACCTACGTGGAATCATGCCTTGAGGGAAGGGGGGTGCGCCGGCGGGCATGCCGGGGAAGGGAGGGGGGACACCTGGAGAGAGGGAATCAGGTTAGTACTCGGTGCAATGGACCCGTGGCTATAGCGGCGCTGGAAGGGGTGGAGAGGTATATACGAACCTCCTGGGAAGGGGAAGGGCGGCGGGAAGGCGGATCCGGGCTGGTTTTGTGGCAGCATTGGGTTGTTGTGCGCTTGGCCTTCTGCGGCGTAGGAGGAGGTGATGGAGTCGATGACGGACTGAGCCTTTTCGTGACCGATTTCTGGAGAAGAAAGGGGGCATGTTAGCTTTCATGTGTCGTGGTGGTCGCGCAAGTAATGGGAAGAGGAGGAGGAGGAGGAGGAGGAGGAGCCGTACGTTGGTAGTAATCGACAACGTTGCGCAGGTGGTTTCGACCGCTGTTATGCGCCTTGCGCACGCTCATGGAGTCGTGCGTGAGGTACACATCGCAGTAATCGCCTAGAATCGGGGATTTCAGGTCAGTTCGGCTGAATAGCTTCGCGTTCGATCGGGGTTTGATTGAGACGTACAGAAGACTGTGATCTCATGTTAGCTGGGTGTTTGCAAAGATACTTGGAGGAGGGTCGGGACTTACACTTGGGCATCTTGGCGGTAGTCTCTCTTTGACGAGAAGAAGCTGTATTAGATTGGCGAGGTTCCGATCAGACGGCAGTTCAGTCGGCAAAAATCGTGTTCCTGAAGCTGTAATGCCGCTTTTGTCGCATCGCGATATCGAAGAGCGGCCGACGCGCCAAACGCCACACCCAAAAAGCTGCGAGGCTGTCGCTCTCACGTGAGTGCCAAGGCACAAGGCTGCCCCGCCCACCGAGCCCAATTGGCCAGAGTGCCTGACCTCTACCCGTCCGACAGGGGTCCTTGATGTGGGTCCAGGCCTTTTCGAACGCGACAGATTTCCAAAAATCCCCAAAGGTGGTTCCTAGAGGCCCATAGCTCTCCTATCGCAGTTGTGTCCTCGTTAGCCCAGGGAGCTCCTTTACGACGCAATTCCCAACAACCCACGCCGGCTGTTCTCCCCGCCCGCCCTTCTCCTCCTCAACCACGACGGTCCCGACATCCGAATCGACCGAACCCTTTCTCAACTTGTCTTCGATTGATACGGAAATCTGCGAATTAGCTATGGCGCCGACGACATCATTGCTGCGCTACGTGTGCGGTCTTGTGCTACTCGCTTGCTGCGCCCAGGCGCTCAGGTTCGACCTGCATGCTACGAGCACCCACGAGGGCAAGAAGGAGCGATGCATTCGCAATTTCGTCGCTAGGGACACCTTGGTCGTCGTCACGGCTATTGTGGATGGTTCAAAGGGTGACGGCATGACTGTCAACATGCACGTATGTGGCCTCAACTGCTATCCCCCCTACGCCATCTTCCCCAATATTGGGACTTGATCTGAGAAGAGATGGAAGCTTCCCGGGGATCGAAGCGGGATAGCAACAAGGGAGAGGATTGGGGGAAAGAGGAAACTGGTCGCAATGACAGTTTGGCTAACGATGGGTGACTCTCTAGATCAAGGATGCTGTTGGCAACGACTACGGAAAGCCCAAGGACATTGCAGGCGGCGAGAAGCGTGTCGTCTTCACCTCCCACGCAGACGCTGCCTTCGACGTTTGCTTCGAGAACATCCTCTCTGGCTGTACGTCGCACCCACTCACCCCTACAACCAGCCACATCGCCATGTCAATGGCTTGAACCTTCCACTTACCCAGTTGCTTTTTACCACCCTTTTGCACGAAAGGGACAAGAACCAAGAAAACTGACGAGAGTGTCCCAAACCAACAGCCGGCCGCAGCGGCGCAACGAGTCGCCACATTGAGCTCGACATCGACATTGGCGCCGACGCAAAGGACTGGAACGCCATCCAGGCGACGGAGAAGCTCAAGCCCGTCGAGGCGGAGCTCAGGCGCATCGACGAGCTCGTCAGCGAGATCAACACCGAGATGGACTACCTGCGCGCCCGCGAGCACAAGCTGCGCGACACCAACGAGAGCACAAACACCCGCGTCAAGTGGTTCGGCATCGGCACGACGCTCATCCTCGTCGGACTGTGGGGTTGGCAGATTATGTACCTGCGGGCATACTTCAGGTTTGTTGTCTGCTCTATTTTGCTGTGCTCTCGGAGAAGCTTTGGACATGCTAACCGTGTGATGCTATGACAGATCCAAGCACCTGATTTAAACGCCATATATCGGTGAAGTGAAAAGGAAGTCAGCCAACGGCTTGCCAATAGCGTAAAGGAGTTACGGAAGATGAGAGATGTTGCGCCGCCGCACAGCGGTGATGATGAGAGTCTCTGTGATGCCATCGGAAGCATCAAAAACCACCTCGGGGTTTTCGAGTGTGTATTAGTGTATGCATACATACGACGGTCACCATAAAAGTCATGAATGATATAACGCAGATTACATTACAACATTGTGCTTATGGCCTGTTCATGATTACTTGGATGAGGCTGGCAAGTAAGGTGTACCTGAGTTAAGGTGTATATCTGCAATTTTGTCCGGTCCCAGGCGCTCAGTCTTTGTTCCTTGGATCTTGTACACTGTTTCAGTAACACGTCTATTCTGGAGACTCTGCTAGCAGCCTCTAATCGCTGTCAAATTACAGATGTGTACGACATCACTCCACGTGCCAAGTGCTTCCAACGAAGCCTTGCTGTGAGCCCATCCACCTCCCGAGTGAACGTTATCTCTCTCCGCCCCATACCATGCAATGAAGCTTCCAATGAAGCCGTTTATAATGTACCATGCTCCCACAAATTTTACCCTCTCCGCCCAAAATGATATTTCCTGATAGATATTGGTACAATGTCTCAATCCTCTTTCCCCCCAAACTCGTCGGCGCGCGTCTCACAGCGAGATCTACAATCTCTCTAGTTCTTGCCCGCGCTATCGACGTCAAACAGGGGCGGCATAAATCCAAGCCCGCCCTCCTTGCGCTCCTGCACGTCCCGGTGCACACCAACAGTCCCGTCCGCACGCCGGCTCCGCACGTGGGCCCTCAGCATCTCCAAAATCTCGCTACCCTGCCATCGCACGGGCACGGGGCGGTACTGCGCCTTGAAAGAGCCGACGGTGTTGGCCCACTCGCCCGGGACGTCCTGCGTGCGGACGTCCTCTTTCGGCTTGGAGGTCTTGCCGGAGTCGATCGTCGAGGCGGCGCCGGAGCCGACGGGGCGGTAGGATTCTGCCGCGTTGACGGTGGAGGAGGCGAGCGTGTCGTTGGGGGAAGAGGAGGACGACGTCTTTGTGGTCGAGGCCGAGGCGGAGGGGGCTTCTTCCTGGGTGGCCCAGTAGTAAATGTCCCAGTCGTTCTCGTCGAGGAAGAGGTCGTACTGCGCCATTTGGGACTTTGTCATGTGCGGGAGGTGTTCGTTGGCGAAGGTTGACATGAGGAGGTCCGATTCGAGGGTTCCGCGCTTGCGGGACTGGTCTGTTTTATTCGTAGGGCAATGATCAGTTCTCGGGATCTTACTTTCCGCATAAATTTGTTTTCTCTCCCCATCGTTCCCTCAACAAGAGTCGAGTAAGAAAACACGCCGGAGGGAAGGCACTCACAAAGAAGACGGGCGCGCATGGTCCGCTCGTCCTCGCCCTGACGCCGCAGCGGCTCGACGCGGAACTTGATGCCCTCGAACTCGCCGACGCCCAGCTCGCTGTTGACGGCGGACTCGGTGTAGACCGGCGGCTTGTCGGCGAAGCATCTGCGGAGGATCAGGGGCGCCGCCGCCGTCGTCGCGGGTGCCGGCGCCGTGACGCGGAGGCGGCGAGCTGCCGGGCGGAGAGCGCGGGCTACTGTCGACATTTTTTGGCGATTTGATTCGGGGTGTTGGTTGGAAGAGAATAGTCGGTTCCGACGTTGCGCTTGTGCAAAGTCGAGGTTGTCGGTGGTGAGAAGGGTGTCTTGGGGGTTTGTCTTACAAATTGGACGCTTTGATAGGTGCGAAGTTGGTTTTGACGTTACCGAGGTAGAGGGGGAGGACGAACAAAGCAACTACTTCCCGTCCATAATTCGCCTCGAAAACTGTACAAGACCCTTGATTTCGATGCAGCAATAAGAGCTCGGACCGTGGGAAAATAACCACCGTATATCAAGGATATCAACACTGTATGACGGTTCGATCTTGACGGGCACGCGGAAGTGGCTTGGATCGTGCACAGTACACTACATTGGCACTGCAGATAATAAAGGCATTGATAACAGGGTCCTTGCGTAGTTCCTCACTATCCAGATCGGAATGAGTCAAGCTTCCTCATTGGGACCGGGATAGAATACGGAGGTGCGGGGACTATTTCAGGGTCTTGAGATAGCATTCCGATAGTGATACCGAAAAAGCTTGGTTGTGTTGCATGGCTGACAGTTTGAAAGGATACTCGAATAGAAGAGAAACGCGCCTCACATTGCGACTCTATCAAAAGTTCCTCAAATATCAATGTTGATCCCATCCGGCCCAACACGGACGAGCCAAAACATTCAAGAACGACATCATCACAGGACCATACTACAGAAACGCGGGTAGCGAAAGAACATGTGGGTATTTGGCTAAATGAAAACTCCGTTCGAGATGCAGTCTGTACCTCTCAAATTCCATCCCCAAAAAGCCCGCCTCCAGCGCCGATTCCATGCCAAGACAAGCATCGAAAGAGAAGGAACGAAAACGGTGTGTGTCTGCCAGTCACCCCCAGAGATGGCCCCCATCTCGATAAACAACCCCCTTCGAGGGCAGCCAATTCAAAAAAGAGAGGAATAAACCTCGCCGCCCACCTAACCACCACAATTTCATATCAGTCATTATACCCCCCCTTCTCAAAGGTCGGTCGTCATTAAAGAAAAAGGAGAGAAACGGCGGCGTTGTGTGTGTAATAGCAATCGTTTCCTTTATTCCCCGCCCTCTGGTAATATCCTCCCCAGGCTGCGGAGCACCTCCATGACGGGCATCTCCTTGGTGCCCGCGTTGGCCTTTTCCCTCACCTCCCGCTCCTTGAGCCGCGCGGCGCTGAGAGAGAGGACCTTATCCGCCTCTCGGCCCGCCGTGTCGACGCGTTGGGAGAGCTTGTGTATGCCGTCCGCGAGCTGGTCCACCTTAAACTCCAGCGTCGACTGCGTGTTTTGTAGGCGGGCGAGCGTCTTGGCGCGGACATTTTCAAAGGAGGATGCCGGGTCGGTGAGCCAGCTCAACATTTCTGCCTCATTCGGCTCGAGAATGGATGCGTCGGCCGCTGTTGCCGTTTGTGCTGTGTCTGTTTCTGAGAAGAGTGGCGGGATATCCGGGCGCGGTTTGTTGAGCGCCAGCCATTTCTTCTTTTCTAGTTTTAATCTATGATTGGTTAGTCCCTGCATCCTCATGAATCGGGTATTCGGAAAATGTACCTTTTGACTTTTTGTTCCAGTTGCTCGATTTTCTCTTGATGTTCAAGATTACGCGGGTTTGGGAGGTAGACTACAGGCTTCTTTGGCCCCTGTTCTTCTCGGCTGAACCAGTCTGAAAATTCTGACTTTGTAGAAAAGTCCTTCAAGAGCTGTTCCTGAATATAGCGAGCTGGAAAAGTTAGCTTGGGCACGGGTTGTCCAGGTTTCAAATTTTACTCACCACCCAAAACAGTATTGGAATCTGTCTGGCCATGGGGCGGTTTTTGCAGTAATGCTCGTTCGCCACACCACGTCAAAAGCTGCTTCATCCGTCTTGGTTCCATGAGACCCTCCGACTCAATGTGCTTGTAAAATTCTGCAGTTTCAACCTCTCGGTGGGGTATCGCGTTATGCCCACTCTCAATCAGCGAACTTGCTCTCCGGCCGCGCATACCCGTGCTGCTCCGACGATTCCCTCCGCCCTTTTTCCTCATTTCCTTGTTGCGATTGATAACTGGCGTGTCACTGACGGGAAGCGTGATTTTTGCAGACTCGACTGGTTCCTCAATGGCGCGTGGCGTCCGCCGCAAATCCGGCTCCGGCTCCCTCGGTGTCGCGCTGTCAACTTCATCGTGCTCTTCCTCCTCCTCCTCCGGGACTGGTTCCGGTGCTGGTTTCCTGACAGGCTTTGCCTTTTCTGTTTTCCCAGTCGAGCTGCGCGTGCTTCGGCTCGTCGTGCGCTTAGGCGGAAGCAGTTGTAGCTCGTCGTCCTCCGCCGGCTGCGTGCTCGCTGTCCGTCGCGTTCGCGGCTTTGATGATGTCGCTGCCTTTGGCGCAGCTACTGGTGATGAGGGCTCGGGCGCCTTCGCTGTCGCCGAAGCGCGTCCTTTTGCTGGCCTTCCTCTTCCAGACTTTTTCGGGGGTAGTGGCGCGGGTTCAGTTTCAATTTCCGGTTCGGGCTCTGGCTCGGGTTCTGCGTTCTTAACTCGCTTCGATTTGGATCCGCGCGTGAAGTGGAAGTCGCCATCCTGCTCGTCGTAAACCGATGAAGCTGCGCGTCGTTTTAGCATCATCCTTGCCGCCTCCCCGCGCTCCTCCAACTCACCCGCAAGACGCTTGCTTTTCCTTCTCTCTGGCTGCTCGTTGCTCATGCTAATGACTTGCAACGGGTGACGGGTGCGAATGACGGTCGTCATGGATGGCGCGTTAAATGAAGCATGCGGTCGAGAGACAAAAGGTGGCGCTCGGTGTAGGAATCGGAAAGTCGCGCCTCGAGGCAATCGAAAAGCGCGTCAATTGGCGCGTGAAAAATCCCAAGCGAACAAAACTTTGGTGCGGTATTGCGTATTTCCAATTTTGTGAGAAGTATGGTCTCCGGGGTGCTGTCGTGATTTTCGCGTTTCGGCGGGTGTGGTAGTCGGCGGCGCGAGACGAAGTTGGGGTGGTCCTTCTCTGCGATGTTGTTTACAAGAGTGAGGGATGGTTTACCCGGACGGTTGCGCTAGTCCGTTTTGGGAAACCCCTCTCGACCACTCACAACCCTGGAACACGACTGCCTCACTTACATCACTTCCATACGTTACCTTAGGTAGGTAATGGTTCCACTCACCACTGTCGACGGATTGTCCCGATGCCTAGCTATCTATACCTTATTCAGTCATAACCTGGTTTGCGGCTCATCGTGTCTAGGTATCCTGGGCATGGTAGTGGCCGTTTGCATGTACAGAACCATAAGCTAAAAATTCATACACATCCATCTACGCACACATCATCTCAAGACTCATTATGGGGCGAGATCTCATAAATTAAATGACCACGAGGCGTTGCCG